GGGTTAAATGACAACAAGACCACTAAGAACAAACAAATGCTGAATCGAGTCACCAGAGTTGTTGAGAGAGTTTTGGCCAAATCATGTAACATAATTTACGACTATGACCTCTTTCATTGATCAGCGTTAAGGGCTTTAGAGATCCATTCTGATGCTGCGGCTTGAGTTTCCGTATCCAGTTTTGGAAGTAGAGACAGTGGAGTCACAGAAACCTGACATTACCAAAAGGGTATGTATATAAAGTGGAAGTAGTTCAGAATCCAGATATATTCCCTTCAAAAACATATACAGATTCAAGAATTTGACCAGACAAATTCTGCATTATAGAACAAAAGGAGAATGGATGAATGATACAGAAAAGAGCATGATCATGACAACTTACAAAACCATCCTCTAGAGCCTTGATATCCAAATCTTCATCTGTATGTTCTTGTTCTTTAGCCACAAACTGTACATGGGCATAAACATGGTCAGAATCTCAAACACACTGGTATATACTCAATTTCCAAAGGATTTGTGAAGAGAATGGTTTAGTTTTTTCTATACCTCTAGGCGGAAGTATTTCTTAACACGGGTATCAGTTTTACCAGCAACACCAACCGATTCAATCTCCACAATACTCTTCTTCTGAGTGGTAAAACGACGAGCTGCCCCCTGAGATTGCCAGATAGATTAATATCAGAGTCGAATTAACTAATTTTGGACTTTCTGAACCAAAAACTAATTATAGAGATACCAAAGTTGAGGTTAAAAACTTTTGAATACGAGTTAACTCACAGCAGCTGAAGCATCTCTGCCAAGCTGGGCAAGTTGAGCTCCTAGGCTTTGTTGGTTGGACATGAAATTCCCAGCACCAGGGTGACGGTTAGCTGAAACAGCTTGCCAACTAGGACTCTGCCTCCACGTGCTTTGTTTTGTTACCTTGAAACCCTATTCATATGTACACGAAATGTCAACTTCCCTAAACCATTGGCCGAAGAGGCTCTAATTGCACAACATCAAAGAGAATAACAGCATAGGTCATGTCCTTAGCATACCAAAAGTCGAACCAAAAATCAGTTTCTGAGACTAGTTTTGTTAGAAATACAAACCTTGTTTGATGAGGGTGATGTTGGAATTTCTATGTTGAGAGAGCAGTCTTTAGGGAAAACTCCTTTCTCAATGTCTCTGATTGTCGCGTTTATCAAAGCTAAACAGACACCAACAGCATCCTTAAAGTCACTTGCTTGGCTTTCCTCTTTCTTCCTATAATCAATAAGAAAATTTATGGCCAAAGATTCCAAATATGTAGCAGTATGCATTCCCACAATATACTCACCAGTTCAACGATATTGACAAAGAGGGTACTCCAGAAATCAAAGCCTCCCTGGCTCCAGCAACAGCACCTGAATAGAACCTGGAGGATTCTCAAAT